AGTATTTGCACAGTTGAATCGAATGGGGGAAAGTCTTGTGTCGAAGGGGACCAGCTAAACTATGCCTTAAAATGTTCTGCCCAACGTTCAAGACGACGTTCCTGAATTTGAATCAGTGTGTCGTCAGACTCCTTAATTACCTCACTTACGCCTGCTTTCCTTGGTCCTGTACTCCTAATTAACCGAAAAAGATTGCGACTGTTACCAATAGCCGCAGCCTTCCGAGTGCTTCTGAGTGAAGGGCTGGAGCGATAAACTGGGGATTGTGCGTGAAGGTGAAGTCCGAAGGATGATCAATTCAAATCAATAAATGTCATTTATCACGCACCACTACTCACAAGTAACTGTGAGTTAAATGCAGTAGATCAAGTCATGCTTTGGCAAGCGGAAAAGCACGAGTGATGTACAACAAAGAGTTTATGTGATAGATATTGCACGTTGGATGAACTGCTTAATCTTCAAGGTTTAAGTTGCCTGAGGTCTTTTGTATGTGACGAGGTTAGGCTACGCTACGTGCGATGTTTGCCGAGGTAGGTATTTGATGGAAGGTGGTACGGTTTTCATCACTGAACAACGGGTCTTCGCGGCTCAGGGGTCCACTCCGTCTGCTGTTCATCACAAAAATGTGTGTAATGAAAAAGTCAGAAGTAGACGTACCAAAATTCAATATAGTCTGTGAAAGCATTGATCATGGTGCGTTAGCATCATTATTTGGAGATCACTGTAGTCCCTGGTTAAAAACTTTGAGTTTTGTAAACAAAGGCGCTTGAGCATCCACTTACTTTCTTCTTATTTTATTCTGTATCTCTGCTCTGGTATTTCCTACTAGCTTTCATATCCTTCAACCAAATGGCGTGACCAATAGGACGGTCATCAAAACCTTCACACGCAAGTACAGTGTTAACAGTTGTATAAACAGAACTGGTTTGAATCTTCAATTTGTTAATCATTTGGAGTTATTCATGATAGGAAATTGGCGTACTCTCTGAAAGCTGCTTTGTCCTAGGAAAGAGATCAGAATAAGGTTAATCCATTTCTTTCAATTTTTCATCCCAATTCCTTGTTTGACATGTGTGCAAAATCAGCCATGCACTCATCTGCTTTATTGCCCTACATTCTCATTGGTCTCTCTACTTTCTCATCGTTTGTCACTCCCAGGTCACTATCATTCCTCGTGGCGATGCTGGAGGTCATACAAGTTTCTTACAAGACAAAGACTTGAGTTTCTACACGCGTGCCCAACTCCTGGCGCAGTTGGATGTGCTCATGGCCGGTCGTGTTGGTGAGGAATTGGCTTTCGGCACGGATCGGGTCACAACGGGAGCTGGAGATGATTTCCGTGTAAGAGTTCACGCTGTGTTTGAAACCACCAAATGACCGATGGTATCTTGTCTGCTAGGTCCCGCTAATTACGTATCAACACCCTTCCAATGAGCTAATACCTTCATGCTTTTACCATTTCCATTACAGAAAGCCACAGCGCTCGCACAGAGCATGGTGGTACGTTTCGGTTTGTCCTCCAAACTGGGTCCACGTGTGGTGACTGACCTTCAAAACAACCATCTCAGTCAAAGCACTCGTGATATGATCGATAAGGAAGTGGACCAACTGCTCAATGAGTCTCTGGCGCGAACCCGTAGCGTTTTAACAAACCACTCAAAACAGCACAAAACCCTGGCTGAAGCTCTGTTACACTTTGAAACGCTCACCAAGGATGAAGTGAACGCTGTATTGGCCGGGAAAATGAAACCACCCAAATTTCCCCCCTCACCTCCGTCCCCGACCCCCTCAGTCCCCACCTTGCCGACTGTAAACGGTTAATGTGCTTTCTCTGAACCGAATGACCGAATGAGAGATCTATTGTGCTCGTGTGTATAGATATGGCCCTGCACAAACGACCCATTAACTTATTTGTTCCCCGTGCTATTTGCTTATCGGCTGACGAGGAATACAGTCTAATTTTTAGCATTCACTATCCTTAATTCAATTGACCATCGCCATCTCGACGACGGCGTAGTGAACCGAAGGACGTCGCACATATTGTCTCAGTTATTGTGGCCTAATTTTTTGCGTTCTACTCCGAAATAAAGTGATATTTTGTCTTCAAAAAGGTGAGAACTTCTCAGGTTCCAAACATTTATACATGGACACAAATTGTGAATTATTTTTCCTAATGCAAACCTTAATCACGAAACGACTATCTCAGCGGTCAGTTTTTCGCAAATTGTTACGAAATCTACCTTTTTGGGTCTCCCTGGATCGGATTTGTGAAATTGAGTGGTACACGGGGCTACTCACTGTTGTGGATTTTTTTGCAAGTCAGTTGACACTATGGATTTAGTTCCCGATGCTAAGCTTCATACTACCTAATGCGCCTCCCGGTCACGAACATGGGAGCGGACGATATTTGAGGTTAGCCGTGATAAGCATGGATGCAGTCTCGCCGAATTGACGTTAGCGGACAAGCAACGGTAGTGTCCGAGGTTGTGGATTTTTGTTTGACGATATTTCTCTGTACAATACAGCATGACAGTCTGACAAGGATCCTTTTACGTGGTGAGTGTAATCTGAGATCATAAGTCTTTGTCTGGTTTCATCTACTTTAACAGACATTCCCAGTGTTCAGGTCAGGTCATACTGTCCTCGGTTCCCATTTCGCTGAATTGAATAGAAGAAATAATCAGCAAGCTGGAAGATATAGAATACAGTGAAACTGAATTAACGGAGAAATCGAGTGGATTAACGAGCATCGTTGTTTACCACCATCAGTTCCCAACCAGCCATCAGAATGATCTCCAAACATGCCCCAAGCGCCCCGCAATAGATATTTTATCCCCCCCAACAAAAGAAAATCCGTTATCACATTATCCTCATTTCGGAGTGTGGTAGTTTGGTCATTTTAGGGTGTGTATACAGTCGTGGAAAAACCTCCTCAGCTTTTATTAATGAAAAATACAGTTTAAAGTGCAAAATAGTGCTGCAACCTTGGTATTGTACCCCCTGGGTTTTGATTTGAATGTAGCACGTTAATGTTATTTTGAGCAGCAGTTCTAGTACAGAACCTCATTACTTTGCTCACTGTTCTAGAACAGCTGTTCAAATTTCACTGTGATTTTAGTTCGTCCTGCGATTCACACATTTTTGGGATGCAGAAGGATTTGTAATTCAGACCCAGACTGCATTTAGGCCACACCATCATCTAATACTGCGGTACAATAACCAAATGACTCGTGAACTCCCTCTACTGGGATGCGACTTACGACTGACCACTCTGCGCATTACAGTATGCATCCGATTCGTCGATAGTATTGGCACGTATGCCTTAGGTCGGAATTCAGTGTCTTTCTGTAACTGGAGCAGATTCGTTTACATTTATCCAACCACATGTTTGCGTTACTCTTCCTTCCAATTATTCCGTATCTAGTAGACGATACATCCTACTATTATTTTCTTTTCATTTATTGCTAAATTCTAAGCATTTCAACCCAGAAGAAATTATCTGAGGCCTAACACCTGGAATTGCACACCATACATATCTTAGCCTTACGTGAAAGTTTCAATCGTGTTTCACTCCGTTTTTTTGTATAAGATGTGATCGCGTAATACATAAAACCAGTATGGCTTGACGGATTGCAAACTGTGCATGGCACACCCAGTTCGATTCACCGTTCCTCAATATCAAAAACTCTCCTACGTGCGTGTTTTAATGTCAAATTTCTGCTTCTCGTCTCATGAGATTTAGGACAAGTTAACTCATGCACACGGGGTAGAATGCAGAAGGTTCGGTCCTAGAATGTCCAGGTAGTATGATCATGTTCGTGCGGTGGATTGACCGTTTTACGCTATAATAAGAAGTTGGAACTTTGTATTTAGGATTTTCACTGGACTACTCCATACTGTTTTGAATACAATGCTCTGCCGCTTGCAAGGCTTGTGTTGAGTCATTCGTGTTCTCAGACTGATGTCCCACAGTTTATGTAACTAGGGTGGCAATTGCATATACAGGTGTTGGTCCAACTCGTTCACCAGCTTGACTTTCATCAGATTTTTTCCTCACCATGCTTAGTGTTTCGAGCCTCATTCAAGGGGTTCAAATGTGATATTACCCCAGTTCAGACGTTGCATATTTGTCATAACATCCACCTATATCTTTGCTTCCATTGGTTGAATGCCATTAAAATGTACGATTTCGATGACGGTTGCTGGTGTACCAGTTATAAAATAACGATGTCTTAGTAACAGAAACGTCATTAGAATGTTCTATTTGCCCTTCTTTACTTTTGAGCACTGAAGCCTGTCCTTTTTGGATTGAGTTCACCAGGTTGATTGTTAAATTTGTCAGTTTCCCCTTTATGCATGCCTCACTCTGGTCAGTATCGATGTAGCTAACTTATCCCTGTTTCTAACAGAAAAGTTTGCGATTACATTCAAATCCTAACTGTTCAGTAATAATTAAATGAATNAATGAATTTCCGTGCTCGTTTGCAAAAATACTTTTTTAATTCTGAACCACTACAAATTGTCGCGACAATCAAGGTCCGGCAAATTACAAGAGAACTAAGAACATTGCAGTGGGAAGTAAAGGACGGAATAAATGCACTTCATACATAGCTATTGATATACAGGTATGATACTGGAAACTGAAATGTATTTCCAAAATGATAGTCTTGTGTCACGAATTCGATCAATACATGTATAGTGCATGATTTAACAATAGGATTAACTTTTGATAACTGAACTTAGTAGCTGAATGTTTTATTCCTTGTCGTTTCCGATTAGGATTCATTCGTTCGCATATTTGGGTCTTTTGAACGGATCCTCTATTCCACCTGGGTGCACGTTGAACTAGTTAGGATTGCTGTGACAAAATGTAGGTTAATAAAGCCCAAACAAGATCATCGAGGAGCACATCAACACCTAACTGATTCCTCGTATGTCTAGAGAGAGAGAGAGAGAGAGTTGATCTAATTTAACAGCGTCAACCCCCTGTAGCTGACAAATAGTCATTTTGACCTTTTTGAATTGCTGGGTTGCGTATCCCAATGACAACAATATCTCGTGCTTTCGGAAGTTCTAATCAAGCTCCTCTGTCAAATGAAAGAACAAAACCTCTATACTATATGAGTAACTGGGTTTAAAATACCCGCTCAATAACTTAAGAATCCTTTTTTTATTGGCGACGACCAAGTTCATTTTTCAAAAGCGGTTATGTATAAGCTACATAGTGACCAGACCTCCACAAAAACACATTATTTGATCTTTCCATATAATCTGGTCACGGGCAAACTGCATTCGACGTGTTATTGCCGCTTCAGATTCTTCTCTGACATACATTCAAATTAATCGTCATTCAGCGAAGATGGGACTGCAACGTAGGGATAAATGGTCCGGCTAGTTGATCAGCATCATAATAAATGGTTTAGCGTATCTTTCATCAAATTCACTGTGTTCGTCCCTGCCTCGTCTCTTTGATCTGGTTCAACTTGGTTGGGTGATGCTGTTCACCCGTCCTAGCCCATGCCCGAGACTTGTAAGGGTAACGTGCGTGTCTCTTGTCCATGATCGTGATTGCGGACACTTAAATGCTAAGGTCACACTGTAAAGTTTGGTGCAGTGCTTAAATCGACGCATGCTTGAAATCTTTTCAGCAAGTTTGATCTACGGCTCCTTTGAGTAGTGCTTGTTAGTATTCCACCAACTTCCGGATTGATAATCGTCCGAAAAAACACGAGATTCACATCTAGCTTAATAGTTACTTGCTGAAAGCCGCACCCGTAAGAAAGATGTGACATTGATTAGGCGGGTTTTCTCACCTTCAGTTCATCCGGAATGCAGTACCGAAGGTTATCTCAGCACATCCAGTGTTGTCACATGACCAGTTAATCTCTGTTCTCAAAAGTGGTGATGCCAAATCACACGTGTCACATTCAGTTGTGCAATACACCAATTGCCATGTATTTTATGCGCCGACCTCGATTGTCCACCTTGTATTCGTAAACGAGGAGAGAACTCGAAAACAATTTTACCTGTTCAACTTTGACTGTATGGAGTTTCAGACGGAGATTGACTTTCATATTGCACAGAGTCGAACCTAAGCAATATCGGCTAGCAGTCGGCTTTCAGATCAGCGCGTTCCGTGGCGCTGGACTTGTGACTAGAACATTTTCGGGTATTTTTTCAAATGACTCATACCATGAGTTAATTGACGGGGCCGGTTACGCTTCTTTGCATGCACTATTCTGATGTGGTCCCCGTTAAATCCATCCACCGGGTTATACGCAGAATTCTGTCAGACGATTGAGTCAGTGAACGTTGCAAAATGAGATCCACATGCATGAACTTTGTCCGCAACAAGTTTTTGAAGTGCAAAGGCGATCGATATGCGGAATCAAATGGTCAAAGAACTACAGGAAATAGACCTTTCTCGTGTCCCGACTAAGAAGATAAAATGAAGTATAAGCGCTTTAGCTCATCATCACGTGAAATAAACTATGATCGATTGGAAGTCAAGTAGTATATGTCGTTCGGGGTCGTCACCGTAGTGTTGTTTGTGTTCACATTCTCACCGCTTATGTGATTGACGGGACTGATAATGTCGTACCGTTCAGCTCATGGACCTTACGGTGTTGAACGTATTTTTTCACAGACGTCCTCTAACATCCGCAATCGTATTTTATACTGTTCGGTGTATATCTGCCGCTAGAAGTCACTAAACGATGTTATTGTTCGTTTATTTTCTGATACAAACTAGCACTACTGCTGTTGATTATACATCGACCACCTGTCAGGCGAGGGCTATATGACGCATACCTGAAGACCGA